GAATGCTCACCTAGCCTGTGCAAGACTCTGGGGTTCAGTCCCCAGGACTGGGAAAAAATAAAAAAATAAAAAAGGGTTGGGCCGGGGATTTAGCTCTGTGGTTCTGCTGCCTGCCTCGCAAGCGCAAGGTCCTGAGTTCGATCCCTGGTACCAAAAAAACCCCACTTCCCCCCAAAAGAAAAAAAGAAAGGGTTTCACTCCAATGTTGCCAGCAATAAGAAAATCCCTCCCACTCTGGTACTGGGCATCGAACTCTGGACCTTGGACTCAGGACCTCATGCTTATGAAGCAGGCGGTGGCACTACTGAGCTAGATCCCTGGCCCCCGAGAAAGTCTTAATGGGAGCTCAAGGTTGATTTACACTGAAGTACCAAGACTGAACATCTTTCCAACCAAAATTACTTTTCAGGGCCAGGGATTTAGCTCAGTGGTCCTGCCACCTGCCTCACAAGCACAAGTCCTGAGTTCAATCCCTGGTACCAAAAAAAAAAAATTACTTTTCACAGCACTAAACAGACCTAATTTTTCATTGGTCTAACATTTTGAGAAAAATTTAAGGCCGGGGATTTAGCTCAGTGGTTCCAGCGCCTGCCTCGCAAGCGCAAGGTCCAGAGTTCGATCCCTGGTGCCAAAAAAATGAGAAAAATTTAAAAACAAGCCTCTTTACCTAGCAGCATCATGTCATCTGTTTGTGGGACAACGCTGTCAGTTTGAGCACACACACACACAAGGTACATTAAGCCGGGCACATTGGCACACACCTGTAACCCCAATACTGGGGAAGCCAAGGCAGGACTGTTGCCCAGCATAGGAGGCCAGCCTGAACTACACAGCAAGGCCCTGTCTCAAAACAAAACAAAAAGTAGTACACAAAAGCTGGGGATGGTGGTGCATTCATGGAAGGCTGAGACAGAAGTGCAAATTTCAGCCCACCTGGGCAACTGATAATCAAGGTTTTCTCAAAACAAAAGGACTGGGGGTGTAGTAGTATGACTGCTCAATCCCAACTCCCACAAAAACAACTAGTACATAGAAACTAACCTTTGTTTTCAGTACTGGGACTGAAACTAGGATTCATGCACTGAGTTTGCATTCATAACCTGTTTTCTTTTTTTGGTGGGGGCAGGCACAGAATCTCAGTAAGTCACTAAGTTCTCCAAGCTGACCTCAAATTTCTCCTTCTGCTTCAGCTTCCTAGGATATGTGGATTACATGTGTGCGCCACATATGCCTGGCTGAGACATTACTGATAATTTTTCAGTGGAAAAATTGCTGTTGGATTTCAATTCTTTGCTATATAGTCTAGTATGTGGGAAAATTTGGATTATTTTTAAAACTTAATTGAAGCCAAGTATTACACTTTATTGGTAGGGAAAGGTTTTGGTTTTTTTAGTTTTGGTTTGCACCGCAGTTCAGGCTGCCCTCGAACTCATGGCCATCCTCCTGCCTTAACCTCATGAGTGCTGAGATTACAGGCATGTGCCACCATGTGGTTTTGACTTCTTTATAAAACCCTGTTGCAATCTGGTTTTCAACTATCTTCTTGCCATTTTGTTTGTAAGACACAAGACCTTTAAAAGCTCATTCTGGCTGGATGTGGTGCATGCCTGCAGTCTCAGCACTTAGGAGGCTAAAGCAGGATGACTGAGCTTGAAGACAGCCTAAACTACATAGCAAGCTCTCAAAAATAAACAGCAAAAACAAAAAAACCCCAAAACCCTTCACTCTAACATCTTTGGAACCTAGACATTGTTTTTGGTGGCACAGGGATTCAACTTGGGGCCTCCCCTTCACACCAAGTTGTATGCTGGTTTTTTTGAAACAGGGTTTCACTAAAGTCACTAAGTTGCCCAGTAAGGGATCATACATGTGACCCTCGCTGCAGCCTCCTAGAGTGCTGGGATTACAGGGTATGTGCCACTATGCTCATTATATTTTTTGGTAACAGGGATCAAGCTCAGAGGACCTTGTGCTTGAAGCAGGAGGTGGAACCACTGAACTAAATCCCCAGCCTCCTATGCCCATTTTAGTTTCTTAAATCGTTGTATTGTACTAGTTGCTTATGTTGCTCATGTTCAACTTTTAACGTATTAAGAGCTTATGTTCATTCTGTCCCTTTCCCAATTTTCAGCCCCATTTAACATTTACAGTGGCAATGCAAAAGGTCCCTCTCAAAGCTCGTTCATTACCAGTGCCAAATACCCTTTACTCTAACCATCAGTAGGCCCACATACTCAAGGTATGAATCATTAATAAGCAAATGTGAAGTATCTTCAGCCAAGTCCAAGCATTTTCGTAACTTTTCAGTGAGTTGATGAAGACCACCATCATCTCAGAGGATGCTTTTCTCCAGTAGAAGTTAACCGATTTGACTAAATTGCCAGTTATTTTTTTCCCTGGGGAGAAGGGCTTATTTTATGCTAAGCAACCCCAAGGGTTGAGATACCTGGTACCAAAACAAAACAAAACAAACCTAAGAGGGAGGTTCAGTTAACACCCGTGCAGCAAAGCAGCCCAGCTTCTCCTTTGGAAATACAGTACTACAGGCTGTATTCACTGGTTTCAAGTGGTTTACCAAGAACTCTACCCACCCCCAACGCTAAACCAATCGTTACCAAAATAATTCCCTTGGAAGGTCTGGTTACATCTACATTACACCATCACATACCCAAGAAAACCTGCTCAACCCTTCATTCTGAGACTCTTAAAGGCTGTGCAGAATTCACTGTAACCGGTTAGGCTATCCTTTTAAGAAATGAAAGGCTCCCCTGCAAAGCCTTACTGCTGAAATTCTTAATTTCACCATCCCTATCAAATTTAATTTATAAAAGCTAGCCAGGGTTTTGGCTCAGTGGTTCCACCACCTGCCCCACAAACAGAAGATCCCGAGTTGAATCCCCAGTAGCAAAAAACAAATAGTTTATAAAAGCTAGAAAAACACTCCACACAAAACATATGTAAGATTACTGTATTTCCTTATAAGAGGAACGTTTCAACAGATTTTTACAGGTGTCAACCAATCTTTTGTCAAACTGGGCACACATCAAATCTAGCATCATGGAGTTTTATTGTGCAGTGAAACTTTAAACTATCAATACAAATGCCAGGATACTACATAAAACATCCACAGGAACGTTTTTCATCTTGTTTTTGAATAGTTCACAAACATTTCCTACATAATCCAACATACAACAGAGAAATGGTACATCTTTTTCTTGCAATTTGCATACAATTGAAAAACATGAACATATATATTTATACAAAGTTAAACTAATAGACACTAGCAGGTTGACAGTTTAATAAAGTCTATAGGTGAGAAATGTAATAAAAATAATCAGAATTTATTCAGCATCTGCCACTTCCATAACCAAGTGCTAATTTGATTAATAAAACCCACTGCCAATTAGGCTTCTGGAATATACTTATTTTTTCAACTTGTAGTACTGTTCCCCACCCTGGTTCTTTACAACTATTAATATAGAAAACTAATGAAAAGTAGGAGGCAAGCACTTGCAAAACCAAAAAACTCCTCCGGTTTATTGTAAGCATGACATGTATGATGAAATTTCTCCCCAAGCAATGGACTCTGAAACCATCAAATCTTCAGAACTGAATTTGCCAATATATTTTGCCTGTATCTGAGAGATATACTGTACTTATTTCCAACAGAGGAGCTGAAAATTAGTGTTTAGTTTAGGGGAGGGTTGGGAAATTCAGCCATTTCAAAATTGACTATTCTTTATTAAAAAAAAAAAAAAAA